TAGGATTGATGTTGGAAACCAACTGCTTCTGACCCCATCAGCAAGCATCTAGAGACAGCAATACCAGAACCTTTTCTTGCATGGTTTTTGTTCATAATTTTGTTTTTGGAGTTGAATTTAGGATTGATGTTGCGTAATCGCTGCTTCGACACAGTCAGAAGGCTGTATGATGAATATGTTGATTGGAGTAGATGGTGATTGCATCATAAGTTTGATTAGTGTCAATGAAAAAGATTTGGTTTCCAAGGTCTCTTAGTTCTCACTCCTAGGAATGCAACTTAGTTGCTCTTATAAGCAGCCACAGATGAATTACCATAAACACGTACTACACATCATCCGACTAGCTAGTTTTCAAATCTAATCTGATCTATTTTGCTTCACCTCTTTCTGCTGGATTTGGAGCAAGTGATGATGAGATGATGTTCATTACGGCCACTCTCTTTCAGCACCATTTGTTGAAAGTTGAATGTATTCAGATGAAATTGCAGAAAATAGAAGGAGACATATATAGTCTTGAATCTTGATGATTGAGTAAAAGTCAATTCTCAGTAATATTTCTTCAGAAAATAGAAGGAGACATATATAGTCTTGAATCTTGATGATTGAGTAAAAGTCAATTCTCAGTAATATTTCTTCTTAATCCGAAACAAGAGTTACATAAATATATATAAACTCCAGTAGAAAAATATTACTTCTATAACAATAACTACCTATCTAATCCAAATAAGATGAGAACACAAGTGACTGAGCTTTAAAATCGTAAAATAATAATAATAATAATAATCAAGAAACTGTAAGATTATTTTGGACTTATACACTAAATATCTAATTGCATATTATAGGCTATCATAAAATACAGCCCAATTAAAGTGATCTAAATTGTGTTAACTAAAGTTTTTGGGTTAATTATCAATTAAGCTAAAGTTGTGGTCTGCATTGTGTAGAAACCTAAAAGATGAAGGTTCTTTTCTATAATGGGTGGAAAAGAAACCTTACTACTATATAATTTGTTGTGGTCCTCGGATGAGCCGTCATGCCAAATCTCGACTCTCCATTTGTCGGAGGTTCCAGCAAGGGTTTGACAGAATCATCTGGAGGCTAAACCAATCGATGTTCTTGCCACTTCAGAATAAGGTATACTTCTGCTTTCGTATAGTTCTCGATAATCTCATATGAAGGTCTTTACGGCATCTATATCATATATTAAAACAGAGTTCTTACTAGACACGTATCGCGCAGGGAGTAAGTTTAGCCAATTATGCCACCTGTCGTCACCAAAATTCTCCTTCATTAAACAGTTAAAAGTTTATTACTAATATGTAAATTTTTTAGATTGAATTAAGTAATTAACCAAAAGTTAATTTGGGAAAAGTAAATATCACGTGTTTGGTAATTATTAACAAATATATGACGTAATGAAAAACTAATTATCAATTTAATAATCATGAAACTAAGTCTTGATACATTAAACATAAGTTAATATTATTTTTCAGATGATTTTGTTTGATATATTTTCCAAAAATTAGAAGATATTAGTTACCAGAAAAAATTGTTACCAATAACTATATTACAAATACAATTCAAATCCAAGTCTGCCTACATTAAGCTTATGATAATATTATTTCTTAAATGATTGGCATATTTTTCACAAATAAAAAGAGACTACTTACCAAAATAAAGAGATTATTTACCAAATAATTAAATGAATACAATTCGGAACTAAGTTTGATTACATTAAACATAGGTTAATAATACTTTTCTGATGATTCTATTTGATATATTTTTCAAAAATAAAAATATATTAGTTACCAAAAACAAAAAAAAATATATTAATTACCAAATGATTATACTACGAATACAATTCGAAACTGAATCTGGATAAATTAAACGTGGGTTCATATTAATTTTCAGATTATTCAATTTGATATATATTTCAAAAATAAAAATAGATTAGTTACTAAATAATTATACTACAAATACAATTTGTAACCAAGTCTGTATACATGCGACATAGGTTAATATTATTTTACATATGATTCCATTTAATATTTTTTAAAAAAAATAAAAAAGAAATTAATTTTAAAAAAATAAAAGGAGATTAGTTACCAAATAATTATATTATGAATACAATTTAATACCAAGTTTGGATACATTAAATATAGATTAATATAATTCTCAAATGATTTTATTTGATACATTTCAAAAATAAAAAGAGATTAATTAATTACCAAAAATAAAGAGATTAGTCACCGAATCTTTATATTACGAATACAATTCAAAACTAAGTCTAGATAAATTAAACGTATGTTAGTATTATTTTAGATTATTCTATTTGATATATTTTCTAGAAAAAAAATTAGTTACCAAAAAAAAAAAAATTAGTTACCAAATCATTATATTACGAATACCATTCGAAATTAAGTCTAGATATATCAAACATATGCTAATATTATTTTTCAAATAATTCCATCTGATATATTTTCAAAAAATAAAAAGAATTTGGTTACAAAAAATAAAAGAGATTAGTTAGCAAATAATTATACTACGTATGTATACAATTGGAACCAAGTCCATATACATTAAACGTGGATTAACATTATTTTTCATGTTTCCATTTGAGATATTTTTCAAAAGTAAAAAGAGATTACTTACCAAATATTATATCATGAATACAATTCGAACCAAATCTAGATACATTAAACGTAGGTACATTTAGTTTTTAGCCTTCAATAGATGGGTAATAAGAGAATGTTTCTTAATGGCGACATTTTCAGATAATCTATTTGGTGCAACTGGAAAACCTTTTTTGATGGTTTACAAATTAAAGAATTCCATCTATGGGCTTAAATAATTTTCCCGTTAGTAATTCAAGTTTCATTAAATTCTCATCTCATTTAGTTTTGAGGTGAATCTTGTGATCATTATACACATCACAGTTTCAGTGGGTATTTAAGGAAGATAATTAAAAAATTATATTTAGATATTTAATAGCAGCTGTAAGGTTAGGCAGAATCAATAAGAAATTAAAGATTACATGCTCATATATCGGAACTCAGTCCAGTTAGAGATCATTCACTATCCCGACTTCGATTTTGTTTAGTTGCCTATATTGTCACAATGCTACAAAGACAGTATGGAACACAACAAACTCCAATATCACAGATTACTTTAGCTAAAATCTTCATTAAAAAAATCTTCATTGAATATCTTGCTCAAATGAGTTTTTTGTTATCTATGATATGCTGGTTTAGTGGGAGTTTGTAATTTTGGTTTTATTAAGGGTTCATACATTTATGAACATTTAGATATTAATACTGCAGTATAAAGTCTAAAGTCTAAAATAAAGTTTAAGGTATAAGGTTAAAGTTTTCGGTGTGCTTATATTCTGAAAATTCAGTTGATCTCACTAAAGTATAAGGAGGACCAGTTAGAAATAGGCATGTTACAGATCTCATTGCATGAAATTTTCATGCTACACATCCACACTTGATCCATGTTATTTAGTTATATTAATGTGCGTGACCACTGATGGGTTTAGTTGTCATTCATGCAACAACTGTCCCTTTGATCTTATGCTAATATAGTTAATGGACGGGATTGTTTAAGTCACTTTATGATAGCAAATTCTGCATACTTTTAAGTTTTTTCGGTATAATATACAATTATAATATGGTGTATAGTCCAAGTGAGAGATTGTAAAATCTATGTGGATTTTATACACTAATATATTAATTGTGTGTTATAAGTTATCATAAAATGCTAGCCCATATAAAGTGATCTAATTAAGTCAACTAAAGTTTGGGCTAATTATAATAATTAAGTTATAAGGTGTGACTCAGTATTGTATAGAAACCCTAAGACCTAGTTTCCTGTTCTGTGATGGGTAGAACCGAAAACCCTATTATATATTGGTTGTGGTACTCGGATGAGTCGTCATGCCAAATCTCGACTCTCTATTTGTCAGAGATTCCAGCAAGGGTTTGACGGAATCATCTAGAAGGCTAAACCGATCGATATTCTTGCCATTTCAGAATAAGGTACGCTTTCGCTTTCATATGGTTGTCGATAATTTGATACGAAGGTCTCTACGGTATATGGACTAATTCCAACAGAAACCTCCAAAGTCCAAGGGAGTAATGCGAAAACAAACCTTCACCAATAGAGGGAATGTGTATCAATAAAGAGACGGGACTTCCGTACTTAAAACGTGTTTTGTTTGTTTGTGTTTCAGCTAATTCACAAAGCCCAATAAAAAAAGATTTTATTTTATTTTTTAAAAAAATCTTCTCCTAAAACAAATAAAATGAAATTTCAATTCTCCATGGGAAAAAGAAATTAAGGGGTGCATGTGAGATTCAAAAATACTGCTACACGAAGAAAACAAATTTCATGAATCTCTGCGCGCATTGTTTTTCACTTTCCTTGCACGTGATGCAGCTTTGAAGTTTGAACTCTTCCCACCGTCCATCTCTTGTCTTTCTTCTCATTCTCACTTTTCGAGGGTTAACACATGAGTTGTCAAATTTCTTTTTATTATTATTATTTTTTTTTAATTTTTTACTCGGCCTCTTGGAATACTTACCTACTTTGTACTTTTTTTAAAAAAAAGAAAAAATTCATAATGCAAGTTGTATATATTACTGAAAAGAATAAAAACTTTTAAATTTGACGATTATTTTAAAATACAGAATAATGTATACATTTTTTTTGGATGGAGGAAGCCCTAACTGAAAAAATGAAATCAAATTGGACATTGGATCTTCCCACATAAAATGTGTGAATAATTTTTGTTGCTCATAATCATCTTCTTCTTCAACACTTGTGTAGTTTGTTCCCCTGTTTCTTTGAAGAAGGTTTTTTCCGTTTAGCTTCCTCATCAACTTGTTTAAAGTCTTGTTTTTCTTTCCTTTTGCAATCAACCGGGTCTCTCTCTCTCTCTCTCTTGCTTTCTGCTCCAATTTTTCTTCAAAAAGATTCCTCCTGAAATAGCAGCAGTTACTATGGCCTCCACCCCCATTGCTTCCATTGACACTGCTCTAGATGATCTACAGTTCCTGATTGACACTCAAGGGGGAGCTAATATTCTAGGAGTTGAATTACTATCCATTTGTCTGAGGAATATTAAAATATTTCTTCTATCATCCAGAAGGTTGGGCAATGATCCAGGTCTTGAATCCTTGTTGTACATGATTGAAGGTTATGTTTGTAAATATGCAGACATGATTCACGTACAGCGTCTTCATCTGGACGCTCAGGCGAATGGCAATGAACCTCTGCCCACTAGTCCTCCTGAAGAATGGGAACAAATCACGGAACAGCTTATGTCTTCCTATGAAAAAATAGATCCATTCTTCAACACCCTGTTCATAACCTGGACGCAATCAGAAAACTCTGTTGCAGCAGATGAAATTGATGATATCTTTGACTCTGTACTGAAGAATCTGCAGCGGTTCTTCATTCTTCAACATTTTAGTAGCTCTGAGATTCTGAGGGAACCAATGAAAGCCTTAGGAGAGCGGATGAAATTCTTGAGAAATCTCATCTCCTTTACCTCAGAGTCAGCTCATTCCAAGGCCAAACAAGATGGGCTTGCTCAAACTGAATATGTTTCTGTGAGAGCTGCATACATCATTTTCAATTGTTATAAAAAAATGGGCAATGAAACCATTTACAGAGAAATGCTTCCCCAGATATCCTATTTGTCACAATTCATCATGCCTATCGACCCTTTGGTCTATCATACTTACACTGAGCTCCTGCTTAGCTCAAAGTCAGGCAGAAGAAGATCACTTCTTGATGATCCTCCTGCTGCTCCAGACATGGACGACAAAAGAGATGACAATCCGGCAAAGGAATTCCTTGATTCTCTCATGTCTATTCTTTGGGAGATGCTACGAAGTGATACTTTGATTTCGATCAAGGATCAAATCCGGGAGCTATATGAAGGGCTTGGATCCTTGTTATTCATTCTCGCCCAGCAGCCAACCAATTTTGATGTGAAGAAGAAACATGGCATTTTTGATGCGATATATGATGCTGGAGTCTTCATTTGCTCGCTGTACCAGACACATCCACAGCTAGACCGGCTTCCGGATTTGTTAAAAGCAATCAGGCTTATTACTGTGGCAGACCAGCTAGGGGATGAGAAAGGCGCACCAGAATTCAACGCTCCGACCACTGCTCCGTTGTCGTTTGTTGATTTTTTATTGGAAAAACTGACGGATCTGAGCAGTTGCGAAGCTGAAACAAATGCAAGCAGTCTCGCCCAAACAATTCAGAAACAGCTTGTCTACTTAAGATCTTTCTTAGGCGGCATTATGGAGTTACGCCATCAAAAGGAGCAACTCCAAGTTCTATGGGATCGTGTTTTGGCGCTGGTGTGCAGGATAGAGCGTCTCCTCGACTACCTGGTAGTTGACGACGTTTCCGATTCTTTCCTTTCATCCTTTGATTCCATCATGAAAGACATCGAGAATGTTAAGATGGAAATCCAACTCCAGAAATATGAAACCGAAATGGAGGCTGTAACCTTGACTCAACAATCTCATGTGCCGCCATGTCAGCAATCTCCCCAGTTGAAAATGGAGGTCGTCGGGTACCAGGAGGAGGCAACATCAGTTATGAATCGCCTCACCAGAGGATCAAAGCAACTAAAGATTGTTCCCATTGTTGGTATGCCAGGACAAGGTAAGACTACCTTGGCCACAAAAGTTTACAATGACCCTTCCGTTTCTAGCCATTTCTCTGTTTGTGCGTATTCTTCCGTCTCACAGATAGTGGACAAAAACAGAATCCTCTTGGGCCTTCTAAGTCAAATTGAACCAAACCAATCTTGTAACATCAATATTTTGGAGAATGATTTAGTGGTGAATGTGTGGCGCCTCTTGAAAGGACGAAGATATCTCATCTTTTTAGATGACATATGGGAAGCTGAAGCATGGAGCAGTTTGAAAGAAGCTTTCCCCGATGATCACATGGGAAGCAGGATTATGTTGACAAGTCGTCAACATGATGTTGTTCCCCACGAAGAGCCTCACATACTTAGACCATTTACCGAAGAAGAGAGCATGGAGTTATTACAAAGGAAATTATTCCCTGCAAGTGGTTGGCCCCCTGAATTAGTTGATATTGGGACGAAAATTGTCCAAATCTGTAAGGGGTTACCTCTAACAATTCTTATTGTAGGTGGAATTTTAGCAAACACATCGCGAGATGGTTGGGAGACGATTCTAGGTGGTCTAAGATCAGGTATGGTCTCGAGTGCAGAACAGTGCCGACACACGTTGGAGCTGAGCTACAGTTCCTTACCAGAGCATTTGAGGCCTTGCTTTCTCTATTTCGCAGCATTTGCGGAAGACAGTGTGGTTCCTGTCCAGAGGTTGCTTCGCCTATGGATAGCTGAAGGATTTGTTCGGAAATCTGAGATGAAACGCATTGAAGACGTAGCTGAAGACTACCTAAAAGATCTAATTGGTAGGAGCTTACTCATGGTTGCAAAACAAAGTTCCTTGGGCGGGATGAAAGCATGTCGCATTCATGACTTGCTTCATGAATTTTGTTTGCAGAGAGTAGAACATGAACACTTTTGCTCTGTTCTAGGAGGCAACAAAAAGCTTTCAGCGTCAAAAAAACCTCGGAGGTTGGGCGTTAACTTCAACCCAAAGCATCTCCAGAGGTCGAGCTATTTCTTTTGCAACCTACGTTCTGTGCTGTTTAACTATCGTATCCGAGAGCCACAAGATTTATCATACATGTTTCACATGGCAAAACTCCTAAGGGTTTTGGATTTGGGAAAAATCAATTTGGGTGATGTGTTTCCAAGTGAAATAGGAATGCTTGTGCAACTGGCCTTCCTGGCAATTGAAGGCTATATGACGGACATCCCACCATCGATAGGTAACCTATCTAATCTTGAAACTCTTATTCTGAATCAATTAAGATACGGCAAGGCACTCTCACTTCCAGGCACTTTCTGGAATCTACAGAAATTAAGGCATCTTTCAATAGGGACTCCAGGTTGTAGTTTTTCCATGGAAAATCAGGCCACATCACCTGATTTATGTGAATTGGATAAGCTTTCTGATGTCGCTATTCCTTGTCCGGGCGACATGGACGGTTTAATGAAAAAGTTTCCAAGAGTCCGTAAGTTGAAATGCAACCTTTTGGTTTCCCCTAAGGAAACAGGAGATTACATCAAGGTTGTGGTTCCAGAATCTTTGAGCCAACTAGAATCGCTTGGTATATCACAGTTTTTGACAGGTGGAATATATAAACCCAGAAAGTTTGAATTTAGTTTACCTGCAAAATTGAAGAAGTTATCATTGGCCTTCATGGACTTGTGTGGTAGAAGTCTTTCAACCATCTCAAAATTTCCAAACCTTGAAGTCCTCAAATTTACTTGGGTGAGCTTTGAAGGAAGCACATGGGAAATGGAAGAAGGAGAACTCTCCAAACTCAGATTCTTGAAATTGTCATCACCGGGTCTGCTCTCCTGGAGTGCTGCAGAGGATCAATTCGAGTGTCTTGAGAAGTTGAAATTGCTGGATTGTACATTTTTGGAAGAGTTGCCTTCGTGCCTCGAAAATATTCCAACTCTTGCGGTGATTCAGGTCGTAAACTGTTCAAAAACTGCAGTAGAATTAGTGAAAAATATCAAGGAGATACAAGAGGACAATGGAAATTCAGAGCTGGAGATCATTACTTCCTGGTTTGGTTGATTCTCTGCATTTGTTTCGGCTATGGAGATTGTGTTCACTACTGCTACTCTTTCAGTATCAGACATTGAATGTGTTTTATGTGTTTGTATTGTTGTTTTTCTCCAACTTTTGGAGTCACCTGTTATGTGTGTAATTCATGAGTGGAAAGACTACTTCAAAGTAATTTGCTTCAATTCCAGTTGAATTAATGTTCAAAATCTCCTAATTCTAGCATTTAGTAATAATCGAACGCAAGGTCAAGTCATATTGGACAGAATTATTGTTATGTCACACAAGACTGAGGAAGAATTATTAATTTATGAAATTATGGGGACCTATATTTATATAGGGGATTCTTGAAAAAAATATTATCTAATAAATTAATCGAGTTTATTAATTTTTTGTACTGGTCCCGAGTTGGGACCGAGAAAATTTATTATTTAAAAGAGGTGCTTGATTGTATCTCTAATTATATAGTTAGAGTTTTGTAAGTATATATATACAGGAATAGAGGATGTACGTACTTCATTTTCACCCAACTGGAATGAAAATTCGACTTTCATCCAAAAAAAAAGGAAGAAAAAAAAACACACTATACATTGGAATCCTGGCATAACAAAATGATGATCAAATACAAGTGAGGACTGAGCTTTAACTATGCAATCAAGAAACCTCTCCAAAGTCCAAGGGCGTTATGTGAAAATGAACCTTCACATGCTGCAGCGCTCAACAAATTAATAATAAACACCAATGGAGGTAGTCTCTGTCAAAAGTAGGGCCTTTCTTATGTGAAACTTAATTTGTTTGTTTATGTTTTAATAAACCTAGTTAATTCACAAAGCCAGCTAAAATGTGCAGTTATGGCTTCGATTAATTAATTAAATGAATACTACTGAGTGTAGCATCCCAGAGGTCCCAAAGGACAACATCCTTGCTGATGAATGATGAATATTGAAAACGAATTTGGTGGTCTATCTTAAGGGTAATAAGATTAATAAATGAACTGTTGGAGCGTCCCCGATGCGACCCACGAACAATTGTCTTTAATTTCCGAAATGCCCTGCAAAACAGGGTTAGCACTCCAATGCTTACGTCAGAATCTTTCTGGAGAGAAGTGAGAGCTAAATAAATATAATCTAGAGAGAGAATACCCTATGAAATAAATGCTTGGAATGTTCCTTATATAGAGGTAAAAGGGAATAAAGGAATATTCCCTGTGCACATGGGTGCACATGGACCCTTGATGGATATCCTTTTGGGGGTCTTATAAGCTTAGGCCGGCCTTGACAGGGCCCAATAGAGGCAATTGCCTAATTGCCCCATCAATTGCCCCTACTAAAGGTGTAAGCCGAAGTATTGGGTTTAGTTCTTTAGTATTTCCGGCCCATCTCACCTAGACTCGAGTTGACCTTATCCACCGATGGGGGTTGCCCCATCATCCGTTATCCAACGGTTGAGTAGTTCTCCCGCCTTTTTAGTGTAGACGGTTGCGATGGACCTCGATCGCCATTTTTAAACTGTCGTGTCCCTATTGATGGGGCACGTCTTTTCACTTGTGCGCCCCCTCAGATCCGACCCTTATCTCTCCTATAAAAGGGATGGGTGGCAGAGTTGTTGGAATTTCCGTCTTTTCCACTGCCCATCTTCCCCTCTGCCCCCTTTTCACTTAAGAAGCCTAAATTATCTGGAACTTTGCTACCTCCTTCGCTTCTGTTACTCGATTTCGGTGAGTTCTATGAGTTTTTCCTCTCTCACCCCTTTTCCATCATTTTCTTTTGCTATTCCTTTGATTATATTACAGTATGTCGCGTCGCCCGAGACTTATCGGGGCCAAGGATGTACCCAGCGAATTTACAATGGACGATTTGAGAGAAATTAGGAATGAGTTCAACATAAAAGACTAGAGGTTGATGGTACCTGGCCGCCGGGACCGTGCCCATCGACCTCCTGAGCGCAAAATGACCATATACCACCGCCACTTGGAGCTAGGGTTAGATCTCCCCATCCTTCCGTTTGTGGTGGCACTTATGAAGGCCTACGAGATGCCCCTGTCGTGGTGGGCGCCTAACTCGATCCCATTTATCATGGGATTCCTTTACGTTTGCCAACTGGTGGGTGTTAAGGCAGATGTATTCCTTTTCTGCTGCTTTTTCAAGTTGATTAAATCGGAACGCAACTATACTGGCTGGTTTAGTTTCCAGCACAACCCCCTGACCGGGTCCCACACGCTTGTCTTAGTGGAGAAACGCGGCGAGCCCTGGAGGGAGTCATTTTTCTATGTGAATACAGGTGGAATTGAGGTCCCGCCTTGGTATGTTGATTCGGATCCCAAGGTGACTCTGGATCCTTGGAGCGACGCCGATCGGATCAATTTTGATAGTCGAAAAGAGGAAATCGATAAACTGCGAGCCTACGACGTGTGTTGTCCCATACCGATGTTCAACTGCACTGCAAAATTATCTATGCGAATGCCGCAGGTACTTATCGGATCGCTAATGACTTCCTTTTTTTTTCCTTTCATTTTGTAGGTTAGCATAACATAATGGGTAAGAAGAATCCTTTGTCCCATACTGCAACGTCCACTACAGATAACATTGGTGAGACGGAAGTTGTGTCGAAGACGTGACCGGATCGCAAGCGCAAGTCCGGTAGCCAGTTCGTTACGATGCCTAGCCAGTCATAGGTGGGAAGTGAGAAGAAGACCAAGTCTAGGAGCGGCGCCTCTCAGATACCGCTGCGTCCTCCTATTGTGCATGACCTCGGGGATTCATCTGTGCGCCCTACTGCATCGTCATCCGGACCTGTGGACCTCTTTACCCTAGGGTCGCAGGGTGGTCTGGCCGCGTCGCAGGACGTGGCGATGATCAGCTTCAATCCCCTAAGGGCTGTTTATCCCCGATTGGGACCTATACCCAGCCCTCTTAAGGCCGGGGACGCTATGTTTCAGGTAGTTGAGTAAAGTTTTTTTTGTGGTTACTATTGCGAGAGCTTGCGATAACATTTTCATTTTTTTTCTTAGTGCATATCGGGTTTGGCCCGTTAGGTTATGCACAGAGAGGAAACTGTTGCTGAGACAACTGCGCTGCGTGCCCGGGTCGGGGTTATGCAAGGTGAGTTTGAGGAGCAGAGTCGCAGCTATGTGTCTAGGATCGCGTCATTGGAGACGGAGGTTACCGGCTGAAAGGTGAGTTGGATGCCACTAACAAAGAGCGACAAGGCCTGCAGCGATCAACTATGCCGCGTGCAATGCTTGGGGATCTCATATGTGCGAGCGTGCACAAAGTGTTGGGGTCCCACAAATTTGCGGTGGGTGTGGGAAACATGTTAGGGACGTCTGGGGACGTGGGTGCTCATGATGTCCTGAGCAAAGTGTTCAAAGACTACTAGGAGGACCTAGAAGACCTTGTCCTGCTCCGTGACAAACTGTGCCAGTATTGGAACAGATACGCGGATCGCAACCAGCTAGTCGCCAGGGTTTGTAGGGACGCCCTGCTTTTATCCGCGACGTGGACGTGGATGGCTTGCCAATGATGAAGGTGATTCAGGATATTTGCGCGTACTTGGAGTCTGCCCAGAACATCCGGGATCTAGAGTGTGGCCCCATGATAGCCTTTGACATGCCCGACGGAGTTGCGACTCCTCCCCTTTCTCCTAGCAGCTCTTCCGGTCACTCTGGATCTGGAAGCTCATCCAGCCCTGGTTCTGGAAAGGATTTTCAAGATAAAATATCCGACATTCCAGAACCCCCTGAGAAGACCGAAGATGTGGACATTGAGGTATAGGGCCCTACGCTTTTAGGCGTCCTAGTGTTAGCGCTAGTAGGGGTTGCTAGTAGGGTGGTTTTGTGCAAAGGCCTAGCATGTAGGAGGTTTTATAGTTCTGTTTGTTTTTCTCCTCTTTTATTTATGTAAGGATGTTTTGGGAAGGCATGTACCTTCTCTTTTGCGATCCATATTATACCCTTTGTTTTGGGCGTATTTTTTCCTGTTTGCATAGTTGTAGATTTTAACGTAGAAATGCCTGATTCCGTTGATGCAGAATGCCACTCGTATCGAGCTGGCTATGCACTTAGGTGGCGATCATCCGCCAAGCCCGGATGTTGTTTTGACGTCCCTTCCCACCTTGGGTGGAAGATATTCCACCGCCGCGTTGCATGTGGTTGGGGAGGGTACTAGTGCGGATTCGGGTGTCGCTAACGCTACTGGGGACGACATGATTACTGTGAGCATCCTGGACCCGATGGTGGATTCCGAAAACTCCGTGTATTACCATCGGATCATGTCGGGTATCCTCAATCCAGCGTGCCACGGGAATCAAGACCGGGAAGCCAAGGAACAGCAGCTACGGGAGATTGTGCGGGCCATACATACCGTGGAATTCCAGGCGTTGCGTCTGGTGCTGAAGCGATGCTAGTCTGACTACTGGCGAAACGAGCACCTATGGGAGAAACATTTGCGCGACTTTATAGAAATATGGGACCACCAAGACGAACGCATCGAGGGTTTAGAAGAGACAGTTCGCGAATTGAAAAAGTTTGTTCCTCGTGCCAGGCGTCAGTACATACCGGCTGGGGTGGAAGCAACACTCCCCCGCTCGTACTTGGAGTCAGTATTGTTTGGCCTGAAAAGGGTCTATGCTACCGTCGCGGTGCGCTGGCAAAGGGACTCGCAGATACTTGGTCGCTATAGGTTGTTTGCCCAGCGAATGTGCAGGCGTTGGGAGATCAAGTTGTCAACGCAGTGGGAGTGATTGATCCAGCGGTGTTGCTTTTTCCTGAATTTGAGAATATTGATCTGCCCCCACCCTTCCCAGGTCCTTTAGAACCGGAAATAATACAAGATCCCATTCCAGAAGTCCCGCAGCCCGATGTGTAGGCATCGCTGGGGATTTCTTTTAGCCTAAAGAGCATAGTAGTCATCCTTCTTGCCTTTTATTTTATTTCTGTTATCATAATGTAATGAAACGCGTTGGTGTGCGTGGCTTTTATTGCACATAATTTTTATCCAAACAAGCGCGGTTCCATAGTTTGAATTTTTTATACCCGTGCCGCCCGCATCTGGGCAACGGGACGGGATACAGGGTCGCGGTTTTGGCTGACTGGCCACCCATGTCTAGGTTAGGTCTGACAGGATGCGGTTTGCCGCGTCTCGAGTTTTGTATCTGCGCCGTCCACATCCAGGCGATGGGACGCGATACAGGGTCGCGGTTTTGGCTGACCGGCTGCCCGGGTCTGGGTTAGGTCGAACGGGATGCGGTTGGTAGCGTCCCGAGTTTGATGTCAACACTGCCCCCGCTAACTTAGCGGGGCGCGTGGGTTATTCGTGGTAAACCGACGCAAAGGCAGACGGAATTGGTTGCCTCTCGTCCTTTCTTGTTTTAGGTGAGCAATCTGTAATTACTGTATGAAAACAAGAAGATTGATAATGTCACGAAATAACATGGATAATTTAGCGGGTTTATATTACAGAAGATGCGGAATGATCATGAAAGCAGAACAAAAACACACGATAAATAGCAAGTTTTAAACAAGAAGCGCTGGATCTATGTGGTCGCGAGCGTCAGTAATAGAACTTTTTGAGGTGCTGGATGTTCCACCAACGCGGGATGGTGCGGGGCGTCTCCTCAGTAGTCTGCAACTTATATCCCCCGAAGGGAGACGTCTCGACGTACGACCCGGGTGACAACTTTCCATCAGGTTCTGCATGGCTGACGTCGTTCCTCTTCAACACTAGGTCGCCCACTATGAATTCCCTTGCGCGAACCTTGCTGTTGTAGTGGGCAGCGACGCTTTGCTTGTAACGCGCGTCCTGGATACACGCGGCCTCCCATACCTCTTCAACAAAGTCCAAGGCACCTAGTAGCTCCTCCTCATTTTCTTCTTCAAGGGAATGGAGGGCCCGGTAAGAAGAGACCTCGATTTCCGCTGGGATAACCGCTTCAGTTCCATAGACCAAAGAGAATGGCGTCGTGCCTGTGGCCTTTTGAGGAGTTGTTCTCTGAGCCCAAAGTACATGTAGAATGACCTCCACCCAGCTTTTGTCCTGTGCTTTGAGCCTCTTCTTGATGCCTTGCATTATAATGCAGTTAGCTAGTTCCGCATGGCCGTTTGCTTGTGGATGGGCGACGGAAGCAAATTTCCTTTCTATGCCAAAGTCCTCGCACCACCTTTTGAAGACTCCTCCTTCAAACTGGGTTCCGTTATCGGAAACAATTGTGTGGGGGATGCCGAAATGACACACTATGTTATTCCAGAAAAACTTTGCAACCACGGTTCCTGTTTGCGACGCGATTGGTTCTACTTCCAACCACTTTGTAAAGTAGTCAACCGCGACCAACAACCACTTTGTTTGATTTGTTCCTTTTTCAAACGGGCCTACTATGTTGGTGCCCCATTTGTGGAAGGGCCATGGGCTAAAGATGTTGACCAGGTTGTGTTGTGGGACGTGAATAATCGGGGCGAAGCGTTGGCATTGATGGCACTTTAATACATAGTCATGGTAGTCTTGGGCAAGTGTTGGCCAAAAATACCCCGTTCGCAAGATTTTCTTTGCCAAGTTCCTTGACTCAATGTGGGCACCGCACGCTCCTTCATGTACGCTTTGCATCAATAGCTGCGACTCCTCTGGAGCGACGCATCGCAACCATGGCTGCAAGTACCCTTGTTTATAAAGGACGCCGTCTTTTAGTAAAAACTTGGGTGCGTGCTGTCGCAGCTTCTTGGCTTCATTTTTATCCTCTGGCAGCGTTCCATCGGTCAAGTAGCGCATTATTGGCGTCATCCATGATTCAGCAGTCGCGTCCACCTGGTTAACTGTCTCTGCTTAAATGCTTGGTCGCGGCAGTGTTTCGACTAAGACCCGCTGGGTCAAGTGGGCAAACGCAGAGGACACCAGCTTACTAAGGGCGTCGGCTCTCTTGTTGAGTGCGCGACACACATACGAGATGGTGCACTCCTCAAAGGCGTCCCTTAACCTCCGCACTAGATGCAGGTACTTCGCCAATTTTTTCCCGTTAATAGCGTATCCCCCACGAATTTGGTTGACTACCACGCTGGAATCGCTGAAAGCTACAACACGGGTGGCTCCCAATTTTTTGGCTATAGTAAGACCTGTGAGAAGGGCTTCGTACTCCGCGTCGTTGTTTGTTGCTGGGAAGTCAAGGCGCAAGGCGTACGTCTGCTCAGCGCCTTTGGGGTCCACCAAGATAATACCAGCCCCCGCTCCACTGTCTGCTGAAGATCCATCCACAAACAGGGTCCACTTGTCAGGCGACGCTGCGTCAGGAGCGGGGTCGGGTAGTACTTGCGCGGTCGTGACTTGTTGTGTGGGCATTTCTGCTAAAAAATCTGCCAAGGCCTGCCCTTTAATGGCTTTGCGAGGCACAAAATCTATGTAATGTTCCCCCAATTCCACTGCCCATTTGATCATGCGACCCGATGTCTCTGGTTTGCGGAGCACTTGTTGTATTGATTGATCTGTCATCACTCGAATTGGGTGGGCTTGGAAATAGGGTCGCAGCTTCCTAGCAGCCATGATGAGGCAAAGGACAAGTTTTTCAATGCTGGTGTACCTGACCTCTGCTCCCTGGAGGACTTTACTGACATAGTATACCGGCGTGTGTTTCCTGTCATCCTCCTGCACAAGTACCGCACTTATGGTCGACGCGCTTGCCGATAAGTACACCGAGCGAGGTTCGCTTTGTTTTGGGCTAGCCAAGGTTGGGAGCTTCAACAAGTGGTCTTTTAGCTCCGCAAAAGCCCGACGGCACTCATCATTCCATCCAAACCTTTCTGCTTTCCGTAACACGTTGAAGAACGGGAGACAACGCTACGCTGCCCGCGACAGGAAACGGTTCACCGCGACCAAAAGACCTGTCAGCTTTTGAACCTCCTTGACATTGCTAGGGTCTCTTAGTTCCAGAATGGCCGTTATCTTGGAAGGATCGACATAGGCAATGTTTTCCTGCTGCGACCCCAAACGAACACTTATTTGGATTGAGCTTCATGTTGACGTGACGCAATGTTTGAAACATTTCCTCCAGATCTTTCAGCATGGATTCATACTCGTGACTCTTGACTACCATGTCATCTACATAGACTTCCATATTACGCCCGATCTGCATGTTTAAGATTTTGTTTACCATGCGTTTGTAAGTGGCTCCCACGTTCTTGAGACCAAAAGGAATCTTAATGTAACAGAACGTTCCGACGTCCGTGATGAATGCTGTTTTTCTGCGTCGTCGTCGTCCATAAGGATCTGATGGTACCCCTTATACGCATCAAGGAAACAAAGGACATTGAACCCGGATATCGCGTCGACTTTCTGGTCTATGATCAGTAGCGGGTAGCAATCTTTGGGACGATGCTTGTTTAGGTCTTTGTAGTCTATGCACATGCGCCATGTCCAGTCAATTTTGCGTACCATGACTGGGTTTGCGACCCAGAGGGGATATAAGACTTTCCCTATTATCCTGGCTGCCAACAACTTTGCAACCTCAGCTTTTATGGCCGCGCTGTGCTCTTCTGATTGACGGCGCTGGCGCTGCTTAACTGGCGTCGCATTTTGAAAAACATTTAGGTGGTGGGTGCCATACTCGGGTGGGATGCCTGTCATGTCCGTTGCGACCCACGCAAACACATCTTGGAATCTTTTGAGCAATGCTACAACCGCGTCCTTGATGTCATTTAGAAAGGCGGCTCCTACCATGACCACCCTATCAGTCATGAAGGGGTTAAGTGGTCGGGGTACCGTCTCTCCGTTGGTAGGCTGATCGAATTCCTCCGTGGGGTCCAACATGGCGACGTCAGACTGTGCCCCCGCGACCTGAAGAACTTCACCCGAAATCGGCGTCGCCTATCCAGAATATGGAAGTATGACTTGGTTGACATTGGCACTTGTTAACACTTGGCGCCCTTGCTTTACCGCTATGGCCATGCACTGCCGCGCTAGCTGCCTGTCTCCTCGCACCTCCGCGATGCCTTGATCTATTGGGAACTTCATGACTAAGTTATAAGAAGAGAAGATTGCCTTAGCATGGTTCATCCAAGGCCTCCCCAACAATATGTTAAACGGAGCAACGACATCTACCACAACAAAATCACACAACTCGGTCTTATGGGTTGGATAATCATCTACCGTGACGCTGAGCGTCACCATACCCATAGGGATAATTACGTGGTTTGAGAAACCCATTAAAGGCATCGAGCATGTCCGCAGCTGTGACTTGTCTATCCCCAACTTTTCAAAGCAATCGCGATACATAACATTGACCCCACTCCCCGGATCAACGTAAACGCGACGCACTTCCCTATTATGAATAATGGAGCTGATAACAAGGGCGTCTGCATTGATGGGGGTCCGGTAACCATGTCATCTTGGGAGAATGTTATCGTTTCAGAGGGTTTGAGACGCTTG